ATTACATAATTTTTCCATCACAGTATTTCAGGACTATACATTGTTTCAGTTTCATTTGTCGTCCTGCTTTAATTTCTATGGTAGTATACTGCTTTACTGGTAATCTGTTGACCGAACTGAAGTTTTTGAAAAATGGATAAATTCTTTAAGCTGGAAACTCGTCCAGTGTTGCGGGAAAAAACTTCCTAAAATAGCAGATTATTGTTGAAATGTTGACAGCCCGAATTAACAACGCTCTTTTGCCTCCCTCACAGCTATAGTCAAAATATCGGTTTGTATGCCGGAATTAGCGCTTATTTCGTACAAGATCAGATTTCACATATCGCATCGACCCCTTGTTCTTAGTTACTTAGGAGGTATTTATCCCTCCCGCTCAATGTTTGAGCACCTGCAGTGCTAGATTCTACTCGTGTCGAGCTGTCTGTTAGACCCACCTCATGCTAATCAGTTGTGATCTTTCGATGTAGAGAAGCAGCGGAGTAAAAGGGAGGGAATCTCGAATTCAACTCTTCTAGAGCTTACAGAGGTCTGTCAGACTAACAACCAGCAGTTTTTCCAAGAACATGATTTCTGGAGTATATGCTCGCTATGACGCTCTTTCGTAGGTGAGGTAGATTCATGGGCATAATTGAACACAAATTGCTTAACGTTACTGCTCAGCTCTTTCTTGACGGAACAGTAATTTGTGTCTAGAAGAACAGTAATTTCTTCATGGACTGATTCCTGAATGTTATCACTTACGCTAGTGTTCAAGATTTCGGATTTATTAACATAACCGACGATTGGGTTTACTGCAAGTACCAGTTGTAGTTAAACGGACAGCAGTGAACTAATATGAACCTGGGAAATAGTCCTGAAGGGAAAGTATGAAGTCAGAACAGGCTTTCTAATTATGTCTCATAAAATTATTTTACTTAGCTGTTATGTAATTTCAGCATATGAAAAACAATTTCTGCTTCTGTTTAGGCTCCACCGCCAGTAAGTATCCCATTCGACGACTATTCCTCCCCGCCTCTAAGTGTAATTCCTCTGCCGCTGTTTGAAGACATGCACCTCCTTTCAGACTGGAGCCCTTGAATAATTGCATCTTCTTTTCCTGTTCTTGCAGTTTTGTCAGGTACTAATATATTTTATACTTGATTTACTATTGTTTTGCTTTTTTGTGCTATTTATGTACATTGCTTTGCAAATTTTGCAGATAACATGAGACTGGTTCACCATCAGAAAAAAAAGTCATGACTGGAAAAAGGTTCCGTCATGACGGTTTTACTCGCTAGAACCTGCTTTTGATTGTGAACAAGTAGCAGCCTTCATTCGGTTTTGTGGCATGCTCTGAAGAGTGTTACCCAGAAAAGGGTTCGATATTGTTTAGCTAAAGCGTATGTGATAATGACATACTGTATATTTATTATAATTAGTTTAATTCTTCAAATGTTTTGTTTATCCCATCAAATTTTATAGGTTCCTAGTTCATTTTAACTGTGCAAGACTAATAAAATTCAATTTTCTCATTTGAAACGCTCTCCAAACTGACAGATGGTGCTAAACTATTTTAAATTAGTATGTTGGGCAGCGAACGTCACACCAAATCCCAAGTCACTGTGTGCTGTGTTTCTTATCATTACAGACATTGTGTAGAAAGGAAATTTAATAACAAGCTAATTCTCAATTTAACGTGTAACGTTTCATTGCCAACTTCAGACTTATAGTCTGCGGTTTCTACTGCACTGTCGGCTAAAACTGTACCTATACCTCAGCTGCGTCCTAAACTTAAACTTGTAGGAGACAGTGTAGAGGTTTAAGGATGACCCTAGCGATAATGCAGTAAAGCCGAGGTCAACCGATTTTACTGAACCGTGAATCAGTTCAAAGCCAACCATACCGTACTTAACTCGCCCTTACTGACACAAAAGTTGCTTATTGGTTGTAATTATTAGTAACAAGTTTCGATGACCGTTTATCCCTTTGGGTCGCGGAGGCAGAAGCTTCAGACAGTGTCTGGAACGTTCCTGATCCTGTGCCAGGTCATGTTTAGCCGTTCCCGAGATCTTCGGTCGGTTGGGCAAGTAGCAGCTGTTTCGCTTTTTTAGTTGTTAGCTGACGTCAGGCAATGCACTCTTACCATACAGAAAGTACATTTATGTTAGAATTACGAGACGTTTTTCTTCGTTAATGATTTTGTCATTAATTTTACACTGGCATCGATGTAATTTTACCCAGTAACTCAAGAGCATCAAAATAACAATACTTGCCATATTTCCCCATCGATAACATGTGCTATTTATACAAAAAAGTTTAGTCAACGTAAATAGCAAGGTTGTGTTTTTCAATGAAAAAGGGGAAGATTTTGGCCAACACTCGAGGACGAACGAATATACAAATTGTTTCTTTTCATAAATCTGAATGCCCATTAGGAGTAAGCTTCGAAATTTTTTGTCCTTTTCTGCAACAAAATACTAGTTGTTGTTGATACCTCATGTCCATTCCATCTTTCTAAGAGATATTCCACTCGAAAAGTATTTTTTTGAGCTATGGCAACAGGTATCTTCTGTACCTCTTTGCACGTTTCTTCTGCTGTAAACATTCTAAGACTGCTTCTTCTTTCGTCTGTTCTCGCACACTGAACTCTCAAACTTTAAATTTCATGGCTGCCTCTCGACTCCCTTTTTCTTTCGCGAAATTAACGGCTTCTAGCTTTGGCATTGCTGTATACGACTTTGCGCAAGGTATTTTTTTCTCGAAGGGTAATTTTCTCAGGAGCAACTGTCAGTGTTAAAAACTAAACGTTTGCAGAATACAAAGTCCAGAAGCAATATGGACATTCTTCTTAATTCTTCTATTCGTCTGTTTTAGATAACAGCACCAACCACTCATTATTCCATTATTTATCCGAAAATAATTTTCCGACAATAAATAGACTGTACGCTATCTATACATTTTCAAAAGCATTAAATATTGCAAGATGCGCGTCATCGATGGGAAAATATGGTATTCAGTTTTTTTGTATTCCTCGGGGTAATTTTCGGTGTACGTCTCATTAAAGAACTGAATACTGTATTTTTTATAGGTTACATATTGCTCACATTGTTAATCAGCTTTCAGTTACGGGAAGGTGAAAAGTCGTAAAGCATATACATCATCAGGCATGCTGTCCCAGTTGTTCGAAAGAAGTCAACGACTCATTTTTTCATTTATCGGTTGGTTGCACCGAAGCATAGTGAGGTTAACGTGAATCCCTTGTTCAAGGGAATTGGGTTTAGATTTTACGCCGCACATGCAAATCAAAGGCCGCCCCCAACGTTTAGAATAACAGTGACGCACTGTGCCACTCATCTTACTGCGAGTTAATTTTGAAACCGCTGCAACCAAACGGTTTGTCTAGGCTTGAACATTGCGGTTTATCTACTTTAACAACTAATAAAATTTACGATGTCGCGTTCACAGTTGAATTTGTAAGAAGTGAAGAAGTTCCGGTTTAAGTGATGGTGTTGAACAAGTCACTGAAGGACTCGTGTCTGCGATACAAAATAAGCAAGATGAATATCTAAGGGCGAAAGAAGCGTTAAGCACTTTGTAATATTTGTCTGCATAATCAAATTTATTCATAATCAGCTTGGTGTTGACTTTGCTTGCTTGAATTATTATATCATTATTTGCTTTCAGAGCTTTTTCGGTTTTAAATTTTGTTGAAGTTAAGTCCTCGAACGTTTTCATTAGGGCAAAGGAAGCAAACGAATGAAACGGTTTCACTGAAGGACCTTCAAAATTTATTGATTACCATTCGGTCGAATTCTAAGCAAAGCTGCAGTAAACACAGGCACGGGTTTATCTTCTTCATTTAATCTGCTTGATAAATAATCAATTGGTTATTTCCTTAATTATCAGCTATTGACACCATTTGAATGAATATGTAAAGAGAAACTGAACCGATCAACAAAATATTGATACTTCAGCTTCAAACTATTCAGAAAATAATATTGAAGCGAAAGCAATTATCAACGACTGAAAGTTTAATCGGAATTCGTCTATCAACTTTGGCAGACACGTAAAATTTGATTATTAATTGGAAGGTGAAAAAAGTATTTTGATATTACGCAGAGTTTTGAGCAGAATAACTACAGATAACCTGAAAAAGGATCAGTTTTCGAGCGCTCAAAGACGAAAGACACAAATATTTTGCAGGTATATGGATTTGTATAAGACAATAACGAATGAAAAGTTTCTATGACAGTACGATGGAACACAATTATGGAATAATGACAAACTGAGCAAGGAGCTGTTCCGCCTGCTGAAGATGTGAACAGGCAAGCAATAAGAACAGCTTCGGCAAGATTCAGGATGACACTTGAAAAAATGACAACAGAAATGATAAAGTTGGTTTAGTGGGCATTCAGATTAGTTTAGCTTTAAACGTTTCCTGGGTAGTCCCATCATCAACAAGGGAGGGCTCTGCTGAGTGGCAAGGGCTTTGAACGCTTCGGCGAGAAGATGAGGATACTTGTGGACGAGGGTCTTCCAGCCAGAGGTGTCCATGACATCGCTGGCGTGGGCATTGATGAAGTCCATCGCCTGCTGCTTCAGCTGCTCAGCGCTGTGCAGGTCAGCCAAAATCAAAGTATCGCACGCGTTGTCGATGGTCAGACCGGCACACAACGCGTGCTCGCACATCACTTTTAGGCGTTCGAGTGCGTACTTATCGGCCGCCGCCAGTAAGTGATCAGCCATGCGGTCGAGACTCGGCGCCCTGCCAGTATATGTGTAGCGCAGCATCTCATGCAATACGTCCGCATCCACGTCGGTGATCAGCACTCGGTTACGCTTCTTCTCCTCCATCTCGTGCTCGAACATGGCCGCGAACACGGCGCTTCTGGCAGCCAAAATTGACTTGTGCACTCGGAACTCCTTGCCTTGAACGAATAGCGTGCAATCGGTGAATTGCTGCGACTCGAACAACGCTCCGAGGTCATCCGACAACCTACACTCTGGAATGTGTAGCTGTGAGGCCGAACTCTGGCCGGTGATGTTTACCGTATCCGCCACAACGCTCACCTCACAAAAAATGGTCAGCTTATCGTCAGGCAACAAACCATTGGTTTCATCAAGCAAGAAGTCACGACGAATAAATTTCTTAAAGCCCCAATCCTTTCCTTGTACGAACCGGTAAGCTCGCTGACTCTCCATTGCTTTAGTCTCCTCGCGTTTTGCATTCAAAATACTGAACTTGAATTTGGCACGTACCTCGCTCTTGTTGCACTGCACCAACAGTAGGTAAAGAGACAAGTAATCTTTGCTTTCTTCATCCAGACCTTTTGGATTGATCCTCAAACACCATTTCAATTTATCGTTGGCACCAGCCGAAAAAGTACTGCTCTTTAAAACTTCGCCCATTTCTTCGCGACAGAAGCTGAAGTTGTTGATGGTCCACATGTACGAGAATTTGATCACCTTCACCTGAGTGAAGCACCAGTTTTCCGCGACTGGGTGACTAGAATCTGACGGACCACTAAGAGTAGACGGAGAAGGAATGTGCAGTCCCAAGGCAGAAGCCACATCATTATCACTGGCCGAAGGCTGCTCCATCAAGAAGCCGCCCGGACAAGCTAACTAAAATGTACAGATTTTACATTAAATCGAAACGAAAAAATGTCAAACATTCACGCGAGCAAACATCATAAAATTAGAAGCAACAACGGCGTGCAAATGTAAATATAACGTCACAGAGTGTACATTCAACACTTGAAAATCTACAACAAGCTCATCGAATGCAACAGCTTGAAACATAAAACGAAAATCTGCCTGTACAACAAAAGCCTACAGAGACAGACAAGTAATAAAAACAGTCAGGAAATTCAATCAATCAAACTGCGCTATTTGACGTAATGCCGTATTCTACAACATGGAGAACTTGTTGATGGTACAAGACAACAGAATAAACAGAAAAAGATGAGAGGTACAAAGGGGCATTTTACCAAAATGGAAGAAAGTTTGCCTTGCATACTGCCTCAACTATTCATGTGGAGAGAGTTACGACGAGTAAGCTCAAAAACAGGATATGAGAACACGTCTTAAATTAGAAGAGGAAATGAAAACCACTCTTGCGTAACAGCACATCGAACACGCAAGAATCAAGTCATACAGTGACTACAGACGAAATGACTGAAAAATCCAACTGGTAAAAAGATTTTTACGCTATCAGAGCGAAATGATCAAAAAAGAAGAAACCTGCACGATTAATGATCATGCCTACCTTTTTTGCACTATATACTTACTAATAAAGCGTTTCAACTATAAACTATTCGAATCCCCTGTTGTCGCACTTTGTAGATCGCATTCTAGCCTGCATTATACCCACTTGCAACCTCAATTCCAACCATTAATAGCGTTCTGCGCATGAATTTTTGAGGGCACGTACTGCTGTATGTATATATGCACTAACAACTCAAAAGATTTACTGAAAAGAACAGTTTTTTCTGACCCTGAAAGATAATAATGATGCAATCAACTTGAATTAAAACTTCTAGGTTAGCATACTAAGATGGTATGGGATTTACTGTCCTGGTTATCATACTGGATAGTCAGTTATTCAGGGCAAACTAAAGCCCCAAGAGGCTTGCGTGTCTCACAGCACTGCCCAATCTCGTAGATTCTCACATGATAACACCATGCTGACCTTCTCGCAAGTGAATGATCTACTGCCCATTTTTCGTCAGATCACATTAAAGCCGTGTTGGGTGAATTTCTTACTCAAGAGAACTTGCATCTAAAAGAATTTCTTCTTTTGGGATAAGAAACTGAAGTTTTCCTACTCCACCACCGCACCCCACGTATTATTTACCACAGAATTATTGTAGCCACACATCTTACGCAGTGATAATCAGTGCAAAACCAGTTTATCATTAAAAGTTAAGAGAATCAATTGGAATTTTTATAACGTAGTCTCGCTCTACCCTTGAAAAATATTCGTAAAAAATGGCTCCTGATTTTAAACGTAACATAACGTTAAATAAAAAATGTTAATATCACATATGCAAAACAATCAGCACTATTAATAATGACAATTTCTAATGCAAACGACATGCTCCTGGATATCAAATTCAGACAGACGAGGCTATGCAGTGGTTTCGTTTGACAAAGAAACTTTTGCTACACGAAACCAGTTCAAACAGAAAACAGTTATAAGCTTTCATTAAATATTCATATTTCAGTCGACTTCGATTCGGTCCAGTTCAATATAAAGAACGAGATAAATTAAATGAAAAGTCTGCATGGACGTGACCGACCGCAGTGTATATTACTAAAAACATTAAACCATATTGAATTTCTTAATTGGTCGTTATCGTCACTTCCCAGCTTAAAAGGTAACCATGAAGAGGAAATGAATATTACCTTCGTTGAAGCTACGGTCTCCTATGCATCAGACATTCTGGATGTATGCAATTTGATTTAATGGTAACTGCACTCTACTGGTTAGGGCAGCAGTAGTGGGTGTCATTTCAAATTACTGGTTCCAAAAGCATAACAGTTAAAGGTTTTAAAGTTTCGTCTTCTTGAGTATGGCGATAGCATCTATAAACATAGGCTCTATTTATATATAAAAAGGACGGAGCTCATCTCCAGCGATCTGATTGGATTAGTCATTGCCATTGAAGCAGGTTTTAAATTGCACCGCAATTTGTGCAAATTGCGTCAAGTTCTGGCATGCGAAATATTTTTTCCAAAGTTTTCCCTTGTTTTCAGGACATGAACAAGCCCAGAGGATTTCTGATCGGATGCTCAAGTAAATATTTATTCGCAGTTCAAGTTTTAAATATTTCATGTTTTATCACTCATCATTAACGTCAAAGAACAATCCATCAGGACGTGGGACGTGGGCGGTGTGTCAGAATGATTTCTGAGCACTGACTCTGAACGACAGAGAGAGTCTCAGATTTTGACGGACTACTAGGCCTAGTCCCTCCTAACATACGCTGTACTTTCGCAAGCTAGCTCTACGAGATGTATTCGGGCAGCGTCGAAGACCCAGATGGGATGTGACGACGTTCAACAAAATGAAAACAAAGCATTCACGATTGCAAGTGGAGTTCTTGGGAAAGAAACTGGTTAAATAATTTAACAGAATAATAAAAGCGAAACAAACACTCAATCGTGAACATCATACATTTTCGGTACAACTGCGACTACCAACCTTGTCGTCAATTATGCCTTGACAGACTGACTGGTTAAAGCTTCAAATCACACTTCATCCAACGCCAGTCACTGTCATTCACCGTCTCACACAATCAGCAAGGTAGCATCATATTCATCGTTGAACCGTTCTTGTCATAAAACTGTAAATCGCCTTCCCATCGGCTGCTGCGAAATTTCCAAATCAGCTACAGTAGCCGGCAGTGTGTAACGCGGCCTGGCTTTTGATCACCGCCTTCCACGCAGGATAATCACGTCTCTTTTGCCAAAGCTGTAAAGCAATATTTACGGGTAAAACTCAACTGATTAAATCTCCTTCTTAAGATCAAAGAACCTACAATCCCATTTAGCCATCGCTGAAGTCGTCTGGAAAAGGAGCCCTCTTGCTTCTAATCATTCTTCAATGCAAACCCAGTTATTTTGTTTAGCAGCAGTCGCTCATACCTCCAAGACATTTCCATGAAAAGTATTTCAGCACAAATTGATCTCGTTTCAACCCCCTTTCAGGGTCATGCGACTCTTGGTTTAAATGCCATTGTTTCGTTAATCGCAATCAAGCTTCTTCACTTGTTACGTTCTTTGTTCCTAGGCTGAATTATCAGTCCAATCCATAAAAACTACGAAAAAGAGAGGAGGCATTATGAACTCTAAAACTATTAGGCTTCTCCAATGGAAAAAGGCACCAACACGGCCTTTAGCTTTTAATTTGGATCCCGAACCATCTGAGCAGTTCGCATAAAGATCTGTTTAACACCTGATAACTGACCTTCACCTCATATTGATGCCATACTCTTCCTTGTCTACAGTTGGTAGTTTACGGTAAGCTTTGTCCAGAACTGTGAAACGGGAACAATTGTCAATGATCGGGCAGAGAGTAAAGTTCTACTTCATGGTATTGTGATCGATATGGAAGCCATATCGTTCGTCCTTATTGTTCTGCTCAACCTTTATTTAGCATTTTCTTTTCAAGCAATTATCGTCAGCTTCATGGAATGTACTGAGTACGGCTGTGCCTTTGCAACGTCTGCAGTTCAGAAATCAAATTTTAAACGGGCGTACAGCAACTGCGCACTGCCACTGCTTTGATGCATTTATACAACTCTTTACAAATTAATAGGCATTAGTAAGCAAGCGAATGTCACAGTGATTCAATGTCATTAACATCACATTTCGAGTTTAGACTTCGTAAGCGATTTAATGGCAGCTATCACCTCAATCACTGTAAGAATGCTTTCCACACAATATTTACCTCATAAACATGGCTGAAGTACACAAAAACTGGATTAAGGTCATTCAGAAAGGATGTATATTAACTTTTTATACTAAGCGACGTTAGAATAGGCTAAAAAACTTTTCTCTCTTATTTAGTTAACAAAACCGGTTTTTCGATAGTTCGCAGTCACTTACTTGAAATATGCCAAATATCAGGCGAGGTGATCTGATAAGCACGTAGATGTGCACTCGCTGTTGTAGGATTCATCACAGATATGCCTATCTTAGTAGGTTCTTGTAAAAAAACAGATTTAATTCACATATAGGCGAATCCTATAGCAAAGGACGTATTCGCCATTTCAAAGGGCCCATTTCCTTAAAGTCAAGCCAAGCAAGCGTTTCAAAACACATTACAAATTCTGACCCTGTAGAAACAAACATCATGAGATAATCCCAAGGTCAGTTTAGCTAAATTACTTCGTACACAAGAAAGAAATAACACCACTGGCTTTCAGAGCAGTGAACTTCGTTTCGATATCTGCGTCATGAATTCATTCCTCAAAATAAAATCATCGTGAGGAACATCGCCACAGTTTAAAGCCGTCTGATGGCCACTGATATTTCTGTTTAGAAAAAGATCGCTTTTATTGCTGTTGACAACTGTTTGGAAGAACCAGCTATTGATCACAACAGTTCCAAACCATGAACATCACAATATAACTCTAAAAATAATGTGATAATCTACCACCATCAACCACTACACATGTAAAAATACCATGTAGCCGCGGAGTGCTTGAATGGCCCTTTGAGCATCTAGAATAAAGAGGATGGTGCGACAATGCCATATAATCCGGGGCAATGACTTCCGTAGCCATTCGATACAGGAAAATACGTTTAAACCAAAATTAGTAGGTTGTAAATAATAAATTTACTGTGAAGATAATCATATAATATTCAGTCACGTGAAATTCCGAATTGTACCCTCTGCCCACTGATGATATTGCATTGCATAAACTGTACAACAGTTACGTCCCAGAGGCACATTAATAAAAATTTCAGAGGAAGAGATCATCAGGAAATATTGCGAATAGTCTGAAATTAAAGCTGAAACACTAGGCAGTGCTCATATTCATACTAATACCTACCAATCAAGCATCTTAACTTGGAACCATATTTAAAATGAT